GCACCCTCCCCACCCCAATCTCCCACCATTCGTCCCAGAGAGTCCGTGTCTGCATTTATGCCCCATTTCACTGCCAGGCACATCCACACAGTCTGCCCCCTCAGCAAGCCAGACTATCTGGCTGTGGGAGCCCTGGGAATATGTGCTGTGGGGCTTGGGAGTGGGGACTTGAACTTGAGGTGAGGACGAGCTATAGGTTGTGTGGCAGCTAGAGCTAGGACTGCGAGTATGGAGAGAAGCCGCTCTCCTTACAGGTAGAATTATCAGGTACCTGAGTGTGTCCCTGTCCTCCCTGCCCACCCACCGCCCGTACTTGTGTCCTGGTGCCTAGAGGACAGTGCAGGCATCGGCAGGAATAGGGGTTAGGGAAGAAAAGTGGCTGAGAGTAAATGGGGCTACACAAAGGGCCTGTGGGGAGAAACAGGCTACTCAGCTGATAGGATCAGCTCAGGAAGGGAGCAGAAGCCTAGCTTCTCCCTGGAGAAGGGGAGAAGGCAGAGGCCAGCTTGGGAGCCTCCCCTGGGTTTTGCAGCATCTCTTTGGCTACCTGTGTTTCTGGCTCTATCTCTTTTCCAACCTGTATACACCCACCCACCCCCACCCCCGCATTTACACCCTTTAAGTATCAGCCCTGGTACCCAGGCTTGCTTGGGATTTTCTGGACTTCTCCCCCAGGCCATAGGAGCTCTCACCCTGGAGCTCTGTGGAGGGCTAGCCCTGGGGAACCTGTGGGGGTGATTTATTTGCTCCCCACACCCCAGGAATGTACTGTCCTTTCAGGCCCGCCCGGATTCCTGCGCAGGGAGTCAGCCCGACCCAGCATGCTGCTTGTGCCCTGTGGGGACACGTTCTGCCTCACCGTCAAAGGGGTGGAGGTTGGCGGCTCGTGCCTGCTGTCACGCCCTAGCTCCCCCAGAACCCCAAGCCAGAGACCAGGCTGCCCAGAGGTGGGAGGCCACTCCTCCATCCCCGCCCTCTCTACCCCCTCACCATTCTTCCTGCCTCAGGCCTTGTTGGAATGTGACAGGAGTCATGGCCAGGGCATGTCCCAACAGCAGGAATACACGCTTCAGCCCGCTAGGCCTCCCTCAGCCCCCAGCTCTGTTTAGGTGGATGGCAGTGGGAAGGTTGTTTATGCCCAGAAGGCCACCTAAGGTTATGACTGCCTCTATTGGTCCCTGTGGTGGCTGCTGCCCCCGTGCTGCAGCTCAACTTATTACAGGTGGGGGCAGAGCTTCGAACCCCAGGAACCTGGAGGGGAACATACAAGTCACTCAGTCCATCCACCATGTGCAGATGAGAAGCAGGCTTATCCCATGAGGAAGGGCCACACAGTGTGTGAGCATCATCACTGAGCCTGGAACCCAGGTGTCTCAGCTCCCCAGGCTTGGATTTTCTACACCAGTGTTTCTCAACCTTGGCACCATAAACACTGTGTGCGGATAATTCTTTGTTGTGCGGGCTGTCCTGTGTATTATAGGATATTTAGCAGCAGCCCTAGCCTCTACCCACTAGATAGTGATAGCACCCACACCTGTTGTGAAAACCAGAAATGTCTTTAGACATTTGCCAGATATCTAAAAAACGGAAGAAGGGCGACCAAAAGCACCGTTTGAGAACCATCATTGCTCTAAACTGCTGCCTTTTCAAATGTTCTCTCCTAGACCTACCCCATTTCATCACAAAGTCTATTTACCACCACTGTACACAGAGGTGGTCTTTGGGCTCCTTCTAGAGACGTTGCTAGGAGCTTTCTCCCCAGCATTTTCTTGCATCTCTACTAGGCTTTTTCCTGGTATTCTCTTCTGCAGTCCATGTTCTCCAAATCTCTTAGTTGTTTCCAGGCTCTGAAAAGCCTGGGAGATGAACAGGACAGATGTGGGGGAGGATAGGGATAGGACAGGACCAGACCTATTTCAGAGTTGGGCCTGTGAGTAAGCTGAGACCATGAACACACAGACACACATGTGACAGTACTGCACAGAGAAAGGCAGGACCCAGTGCTTCCAGTCCTGCCTCCACCACTTTCCCCTCAGACACCCTGTGCCATGCCTTTCCTGCCTGGCTCTTCCTGGGGGGCCTTCCAGGCCCTGGACTGGGCAGGCTGGCCTGTGGCATTGACAGAGAGGCGGCTGACACCTGGTTTCCACTTTCTTCCCTTCTCTGGTTTCAGGAGCTGTTGGCTAGAGGAAGTGGAGGGGCTGTGGGATGCGGAGAGCCGAGGGCTAACTCCCGGACAGCGGAAAGGAGCGAGCTGCCGACAAACAGACGGTATGTCCCTGTGAGGCCTGTGCCCCCCACCTCCCCATGTGGCTCTCTTCTGGGGAGGCTGGCAGATGAGGCAGGCAGCTGGCTCTTCTTGGTCGGAGGCTGGTGAAAAGAGAGTGGTGGAGGCCAGAGGAGCTTGGCCATCAGGGCTCTCTAGAGCTCGGAGACCCCCGCTGAGGAGCCTGGGTTGGGTGAACATCCTCAGACCTTTACATGTTGGTTATAATATTTTTAAGCTAACATTTATTGAATATTTCTTAAGTACCAGGTACTGTTCTTAGTGCTTTACATAGTTTTCACAACAACCCTATGAGATTCGTGTTTCTTACCCAAATTTAGAGTTGAGGGCGCTGATGCATGGGAGCACTTTTCCCTCCGAGGCCCGCTCTGAGCCCACAGAGGAGAGTGGTGGGCTGCCCTTCAGACTCCTCAGGCACAGTCCACTTCCTGGTGCCCCGGCCCTGGGCCTTGCGTTTCCCACCCTTCTGTTCCCATTGGACCCGTGCCCCCCGTCCTGCACTCTCCTGCCTCCATGGGCACCGACACACCAGAGTCCAGCCCTTCTGGTGACCCCAGCAATGTCCAGGCCCATTTGCCTGCCTGATGGCTCCTATATCTGTCCCCTTTTACCATCCTTTTCCCCCTCAGTCCAGAGACCTCTTGCCCTCGTTTCTGAGCCGCCTCCTTCCTTGCTTCCCCTCAGCAGGTCGAGGAGCCCTCACCTCCCAGAATGACCAGTGCAGCCCCTGCTAAGAAACCCTACCGTAAGGCACCGCCCGAGCACCGGGAGCTGCGGCTGGAGGTTCCTGGATCTCGGCTGGAGCGGGAGGTCAGCATGACGGGACCCCGCACTGGCTGGCGGAGCCAAGCCCCTGAGGCTGGGTGTCTGGCTGACTTCTCCCACCTGAGGGGACTACTGTCCCCCTCGCCCGAGTTGGGAGGAGAGTATGGCATTGCTGATAGCACCTGGGGCCTCCTAGCTGCAGCAGTGCTGGTGGGGGCGGTGTAGGCTCATGGGGTGGCAGCTGTTGGCACATGTCCACATGCCAGAGAGCCCCAGAGTCGTGGTAGCTCAGCAGAAAGGATCCCATGCAGACAGTGTTGTTCTTCCTGCAAGAGGCAGCCCACCAGATTGAGGCGTCCCAACCTGCTGGAGGCTGGGACTCCGGTCCTCCACTCATGGAGAAGAGCCGGTCAACCTAGGGCCCTTCTGGGGGCTGTTGGGAGGCCGTGCTCCAGCTACTGCCACCAACCCAGCTGTTCCTCACTGTCCCCTGGAAGTCTGATCTTTCCTCCAGCTTTGCTTTGTTTGCTCGCATTTGTGAGATACATGCTCCCAGCTAGGAACGGTGTTAGGTTCTTAGGAGGCCTTCAGTCAACTGCAAATGACTCTCCAAGTCAGTCATCCTCTCCCATTAAGCCTACTGATGGGAGGAAACGCATGTTGGGTGGTTTCTTCTCCTTGCTGCTGTGTTGCAGTGCCGGGGGTACACTTACAGAATTGAGACAAAGGTAGCACACGCTGAGCATCAGGGATGCCATGGCCACTTTGGTCAGCTTCAGGGCAGACTTGCCCACTTCAGGTCAGGGTAACATTAAATAAAAGGGCCAGGTATTGTGTGAAATGCCACCCAAGGGGCCTTGCCCTGCTTTGTAGATGAGGACACTAGGGCTCAGCAAGGTTAACATAACCAGTGTGTGGCAGAAAAGGAGCAAATCCAGGTGTCAGCGGCTCCAAGGTCCATGGCCTGGCCACCCACCTCATTTTCCTGCCCCTGACTGACATTTGAAGCAGTCGGCTCTACTTGGAGTGGTGGACCCCTTGATATTCCCCTCTTGCTGTAACACATGCGTCCTCTGCTTTGTGTCTGGCCGAGCTCTGCCTCTTGCACCATGACCAGCGTGGGGTTTTGGGAGGATGGGCAAGAGGTTAAAAGCAAGACGACACTCCACTCCTCTCAGTTGGGATCAGCCCAGAGGCTCTCCTTCACATACGTACTTGCACCACCCTGGCCTCTATAAGGGCCTGATTCTGCCTCATTGTCAGAGCTTGGAACCCTCCTCTAGCTCAGCCTGGTTTCTTCACTTCCCTGGAAGGGCTCTGCCATGCCTGCAGGGTTACCAGGATCCCAGCAAACAGCTGAGAGGCTCTCTTTATCCCTGGGAGAGGTAGCATGGGTACCAGAACTTATTTGTAGCTGGCTCTGGCCTTAAGAGAGGGATTAGAGCTGGTGTGGGTAAGGGTGAGGGTTGGAAGGGGGTGTTGAGTCTTCTAGTTGGCATGAGAGAGAGTAATTGAGGCTTGTCTGGGCATTACTAGATTGCCTCCATCTCTGCAAGGCCTTGCAGCCCACTTCTGCTGTGAGAGTCTTTGGGCTTCAGACATGGCCCTTTCCAGGGCTCTTTGGAGGGTGGGCCAAGCAGGAGGCCAGTGGTCCAGAGCTGAGCCTCAAGCTTCTATTCTTTTGTGCCCAGGAGCCCGCGACTGACGCAGAGAGGATGAAGTGAGTACCTGCCCGAGAGCTCGCCCTACCTCACCTCAGTCCCTCTTAGCTCCAGGCGAGGCTATTGGTATAGTTGAGCTTTTCCTTGGATTAGGTAGAGGTGAAGGTTGGGTTGGGGTGGGGTGTTTTAGGGACTCTGGGAGGAGGCTTGATGTTGTGGATATTCCTTATGGAAAAAGGTTTTGTTCCATGGGCTCCAAGAGAACCTGGAATCAAGGAGGGGATGGCTCTGCGGGCCTGTTCTTGCCAGCGGCCCTTCCCCAGCTCCTGGCCCTCCTGTGCCAGCTGCCTCCCTGCAGCCCTTTCTGTCGCCACGTGAGGCCTCTGGAGAGGAGGGCAGTGCTGGGCTGGATTTCCACGAGATTAATAATGGAGCAGCCTGATTGTGCAGTGGGGAAACTGGAGCTGGGGGGCTTGGTGGCCGGCTGGTTTGGGCTGTAACCAGAGACAGACTGGGAATTATACCCCCATCCAATTCTGTCTTCTCATTCTTCTCCAGTGGGGGGGAAGGGAGGATTGGACTGCTCTCTACCATCCCGTCTGCCTCCCCCAGCCCTCCAAGCCAGGTCTGTTCTCAGGGCCAGCAGGCCTACAGAATGCTGTCCCAGATTCAGGCTGAGTCTCAGGGAGTCCCCTGCCCCCAGCCGCCTATCCTCATGTCATCCCTACTCCTTCCTTTCTGAGCCCAGCCTAGGGCTCCAGGACTGGCCCTTCTATCTCTGATGCCCCGCTGCCCTTGACCCCTCACCCTGCCAGGCTGTTAGAGCAGGAGAATGAGGAGCTTCGCAGGCGCCTGGCCTCGGCCACCAGGCGCACCGAGGCCCTGGAGCGTGAGCTGGAAATCGGGCAGGACTGCCTGGAGCTGGAGCTGGGCCAGAGCCGCGAGGAGCTGGACAAGTTCAAGGACAAGTTCCGCAGGTATGGGAATGAGGGGCCAGGACACACTTGCATGCATCTCCCCACTCATAGGAGGTTAGCTGGGAGAGGCCTCAGAGATCATCTGATTCTGATGAGAAAACGAAGTTCTGGGAGAATGACTTGCCCAAGATCCCATATCAGGGAGGGGCTGAGCAGGGTCTGAAGGATGGGATCCTGACCCAGGGGTCTGCCTTGTATTCCTCTACAGGCTGCAGAACAGCTACACAGCTTCACAGAGGACCAACCAGGAGCTGGAGGACAAGCTGCACACGCTGGTAACCTGTCCAGGAGGGCAGCTGGGCGGGCACTGTGCTCACAGCATAGCAGGGCTGGGACTTGCAAGGGAATGCCATTCTGCCCTGGGGCTTGGGGAGGGGGCAAGGGTGGGGAGGGGACCGCAGTGTGCTGTGCGAGTCAGGACCGTCTTAATGCTCACACTGTTTCTCTTCTCTCCTCGTCTTCCCCTCATGCTGCCACCGTTGCTGCTGCTCTCCTGTCAGGCCTCTCTTAGCCACAGCTGGATTTTTGCAGTTGCGTCTGAGTTTGTGTGTTTTCTCCCTTGCCCTGGCCTTCTCCTCAGCTGAGACCTGGGATTGCTGGGGCCCTGTTCATCTCCCTCTGCCCACTCCTTTCCCCTTCCTTATGTGAGGCCCTGTCAGTAGTCAGTGCCTCCTTCCTAGGGGACAGCTGGGAGTCTGCTCTTGGCTTGGGCAGAGGTACTGATTGATGGCACCACTGAACACTAAGAGCTTCTCAATTGCAGTGGCAGCAAGCCCAAGCCACTGCGGGGAGGGGGCTGTAGATCCAGCCCATGAGCTGAAGAGCAGAAGGCTGCTTTTGAGCCTACAGTTCACTCCCTGCTCAACTACAGTAGATCATCTCACAGGCTCTCCCAGCTGCCACCCAGCCCACTCCCTCCGCCCTCCTCCTAGCCTGATCCTGGAAACTACATACATAGGTTTCAGTGCCTGGGTTTGCAGTTACTGCCTCTCAGGCACCAGCTGCCTTGCCTGGCGTGTAGAGCCCCTCGAGTTCCCATAAGGGGTGGGCAGTTCCTCTGTCTTGGACCCAGGCAGCAGCAGGTCAAGCTCAGAAAGCCCCCGCTCTACAGTCAGCCCAGAGAACAGGAGAGGTGTCTGGTCTCCTTCTGTCTGTCCTCCATCTGTCTCTGTTCTGTCTGCCTTGGCTGCCTTAGCACCTGTGGCTTCCTGTGTCTCTGGGCTGGGGGGAGGGGAGGGAGACGAGGAAGGGCTGGCTGGGCTGTGGGCTGGGTTCACCCCGAGTCTCGTGCCTCAGATCAAGAAGGCCGAGATGGATAGGAAGACACTGGACTGGGAGATTGTGGAGCTGACCAACAGGCTGCTCGATGCCAAGAACACCATCAACAGGCTGGAGGAGCTCAACGTACGTGCGCCTCGGCGCCCTTCCTCACTGCAGCTGGCCTTGCCCTGGTCCTGCCCTGCCCCCCTGGGCAGGGCTGGGCTCTGAACCACGTCTGTGTCTGCAGGAGCGGTACCGGCTGGACTGCAACCTGGCTGTGCAGCTACTCAAGTGTAACAAATCCCACTTCCGTAACCACAAGTTCGCTGATGTGAGTACAATACCCTCCCCAGTCCAGCCTTTTCAGGACGACCCTAACTCCAGTTTCTACACCTCTCTCTATCCTCCTGCATTTACCCCTTTCTGCTTTGTCTCCCCCTCACCCCTATGTCTCCTCTGAAGCCAGTCAGCTTTGCCACTGCTTGGTGTCCTGTGTTCTCTCAAGGGTCCATCACCTGGGCTGGGAGCTGGCCCTGTTGGTGTTTTTGGAACAGAGACAAGGAGAGAGGGACTCAGTTTCAGGAGCCCATACAGGGAGGGGGGGGGGCGGGACAGAGCTATCAGCCATAAGAATACTGAGAGAGGATTAGGCCCAACTGATCCCCTTGCCCCAAGGGACAAACTCTAGACCCCAGAGCCTCAGCCCCAAGGGGCCTACAGGAGTGGAGGTATTCCCAAGGTCAGTACAGATTCTCAAAATTATGTCTGGTTTGGGCAGAAGCTATTGCTAAGATGGGGAGATAGACGTTTGAGAGTATTTGTGCCTTAGCACTAGTTCTGGGTTCAGATCCTGGCTGTGTTCATCAAAAGTTTCGTTACTTTACCCCTACTGAGCCTCAATGTATCCATGAAACGAGGATGTACCTTGGCGTGCTGCCAACACAGGAAATAGCAAAGTGCCTGGCACACAGTGGTACTTGTATGTGGCAGCCATGATTTTTGCCACAAGTCAGAGTATCGGAGGTTGGGATCGTTCATGTCTCTCTTCCCTTCTGCTCCTTCACTCCAGCTGCCCTGTGAGCTCCAGGACATGGTTCAGAAACACCTGCACAGTGGTCAAGAGGCCACCAGCCCGGGCCCGGGCCCTGCCCCCAGCCTGGCACCAGGGGCTGTGGTTCCCACCTCGGTCATTGCCCGGGTGTTAGAGAAGCCGGAGTCTCTATTGCTCAACTCAGCCCAGTCGGGCAGTGCTGGGAGGCCCTTGGCTGAGGACGTGTTTGTGCATGTAGACATGAGTGGGGGCGCCCCAGGTGATCCAGCCAGTCCCCCAGTCCCTGGCAGCCCCACCCCCCAACCCAACGGGGAGTGCCGCTCTCTGAGCACTACTGGGGGCTCCCCAGAGGAGGAGCTGCCCCTGCCAGCCTTTGAGAAGCTGAGCCCCTACCCCACCCCGTCTCCACCACACCCGCTCTATCCTGGCCGCAAGGTGATAGAGTTCTCTGAGGACAAGGTGCGAATCCCCCGCAACAGCCCGCTGCCCAACTGCACCTATGCCACCCGCCAGGCCATTTCCCTGAGTCTGGTGGAGGAGGGGAGTGAGCAGGCACGCCCCAGCCCAGTGCCCAGCAGCCCTGCCTCAGCCCAGGCCTCACCCCAGCACCAGCCCCGCCCAGTGCCCCCTTCGCTCAGTGCCCCAGCCAGCTCCGCCAGCTCCGAGGAAGACCTGCTGGCCAGCTGGCAGCGGGCCTTTGTGGACCGCACTCCACCACCGGCCGCTGTGGCCCAGCGCACAGCCTTCGGACGGGATGCACTCCCTGAGCTGCAGCACCATTTTGCTCTTAGCCCCACTGACAGAGATGAGGTGGTTCTGGCACCTTCTTCCCCACCTGGTGAGCGAGGGCTTTTGCTGCCAATGGAACCTGACTCTGGCCTTCCCAGGGAAGAGGAAGACGAAGAGCTGAACCTGCCCCTCAGCCCCGAGGAAGAACAACAGAGCCTGCTGCCCAGTGACAGTGGCACAGAGAAAGGGCCTGGCACTTCCCACACCGAGGGCAGGGCCTGGGCCCTCCCCAGCTCCGGCCGCCCCCAGCGCAGCCCTAAGAGGATGGGGGTGCACCACCTGCATCGCAAGGACAGCCTGACCCAGGCCCAGGAGCAGGGCAACCTGCTCAACTAGGGCCCCTGCTTGCCTTCCCGCCACTGCTGCACTGGGACTGCAAGGAGGCCCTACCCTTGCAGCTCAGGGTCCCCTCCTCCGCCAGGCTCTTGACTAGCCCCCCTTCAGGCCTGCACAGCTCTGTTCCTGTGCAGGGAGGGTCAGGCGGGCCACACCAGGCCCTTCCGCTGCATTGACTGTGACTGGCACCAGCTTGCCTCATGATTTCCCCCCTTTTCTTGTGGAATATTTATTCTCCAAAGGTAACATGCAGCCAGGGCTCAAGACCTTTCTTCAGCTCAGCCCAGTCCAAATCGGGCTGTTCTAGGGAGCTGAGGGGTTTATCACATCAGTGTTCCTCCTCCATCCTCCTTTCATATCCATGAGTGTTTTTTTGTTTTTTTGGGGGGGGATCATTGGGATTATTAACTTCTAATTTCTATTTTTTTATTAACCTTTCTGTTTTCCGCCTGTATCCCTCTCCCCCCAGATCCTCTGCACAAGCTGTTGCCTTCAGGGGGCCTGGCACAGTGGGCCTTCGGGGGTGAGGGAGGGGCTGACTCAGGGCTCTCCTCAGCTATTTCCTTCCTCCTTCAGGAAGGGAGTAGAGAGTGGGACTCAGGGGCCTCAAGGCTGGGCTCTAGGTGAGGCCTGCCCCCCTCCCAACCTTGACTCTAGACTGTTACTCCCAGCTTTGGGAAATTTTCACATCGATGACTTTTAAAATTAAATAAAACTATTTTACTGCTATGGCCTAATATGTCTATTAATGACCTTCCATCTGCTATTCTCCCCATTTTTGAGTATTCCAGTCCTTGTGATGTCCTCCTCTTTGCTAGTGACTGCCTTGCCCGACTCTGCCTGGGGCTTCCCTGGGCTCAGCATCAGGCGGTGGAAGAGGGTGTACCTCAAGTAACCTTGACAGGGCCCCTGACTCTTCCCTTGACATAAGAGTCCAAACCAGCCCAGTTTTGGAGGTGGATTCTTGACCTTAGTTATATCCTTATGGGGCCTGTGTTAAGGTGTCATCTCAGAACCCCAGGTCCTAGAAGTCCGAAGCCTGAGCCAGACCTGTTTGGGACATTTGGGGCCAGAGGACACTTTGGCTGTGGGATGGCACTGCCCCCTAGAGGTCCCTAATGGTATTTCCAATTCCTCCCGTACTGCCGGCCCCCAGTGAGCACAGCCACACGCCAGGTTGTAGAGTTCATAAAATCTCTTCCCAGCCAGCGGGCTGCAGCCAGACCTGCCAACAAGTCCAGAACCATTGCCTTGAGTTCAAGTACCGCCAAGGCTGTTGCTCATTCACAGCTTCCAGAGCCTCCCACCACACTGCCAGGAGCTGCCAGAGCCCCAGGCAACCCCCGCTCCCTCCCGCGCCCCAGCGCCTGACCCTGAGATCTGGGACAAGGTGCTGGAGACATAGACACATATAATGATGTGTAGAAACCCAAGTGAAGAGTCACATCTCGGTCTCAGCCAACAGACTGTCCCCTAGTCCTGACGTCATTAGCACCATCTGAGAGCTGGGATCTGTGGAAGGGCAGAGGAGCTTTCAGGCCACCATTCATCCCTCAGCTGGGGACCACAAATAGGAGAGAAATGGCCTAGGTTACCCGTACCCACCCTCCCAGGTCCCAGGTCTCTTCAGACTGGCTCCGATCAACCTGCAGGGCTCTTACCACTGGGGCACATCCAGGAGCTGCTGCCTCTCTGGGGGGCAGCAGGCTCCCGCCCCCTCTCTCGTTCCTGGGTGTCACCAGACCCTCCTGCGACCTCCTCTTCTTCTTCTCCCTCAGAAAGGAGGTCACAGATCTGCTGCTGCAGCTCTGGGCTAATGCTGTTCTCAGCCAAAACGAGGCTCCGCAAAGCTGTGGGGTAATTTTCTACCATGTCCAGCAGGGTCTGGGGTGGAGAAGGGAACGGAAAAGAATAAACACAGTTAAGGTGGCTCCCTGACTCCATCCTGCCACACCTTTAGTATGTCCACAGACACCCCGGCTAGCTTCCACCCCTACCTCTGGCCGTCCCCAAACCATGAAGATGTCTCACCTGAGCTGACTGGTTGGTGAGCCCTGTACCCTCCAAGTCCAGGACCTCTAAGGTGCGGCTGGAGGCCACAGCTACAGCCAGCATCCCTGCCACGTGGTCACCTAGGGAGACAGCACACATGCACATACCTGCATACATGCGCAGGTCTGCTAACCCTTGTTCCCGGCAGCCTCCCCATTGTCCCAGCAACCTTAGATCCCACCCCCAGGTCAGGAAACAATTGATAGGTGGCCAGGAAGGGAGCACCGTGGTTGGTGAGTGAACACATGAAGCAAGCCAGGCAGGCCCAGGGGTGGTGATCATGCTTTGATCTGCCTGATGGTCATCTGGTCCTCCACACAGGTGGCTCCTCTACTACCTCCCAGACCTCCCTCCATCTTCCCTCCCCCAGTGTGGGGGCTAGCATGGCAACCGATAGTCCTAGGTTCTTGGATGGGGGTGGGAGGTGAGAATCTAAGGGGGTTTTCTGGAACCTCACCCAGGGGGTTGTAGTCCAGATTGAGGACGCGGACCTGGGAGCTGTGGGCCACAGCAATGGCAAGGCGGCTCCAGCCCTTAGGGGTGATGCCAGGGTTGGCACTCAGCGTTAGTTCCTTCAAGCCTGGGCAACATCATAAGGAGAAGCCAGGATGGAGAAGGTCAGGCACTCCTTAAGCCTCTAACCTGCCCTAGGTTTCTGGGGTGTCCCTAATGACTTGGAGCCACCCCACCCCCACCACAGAACTTCAGGGCCATTAGAGACCCATGCTTTCCCTTGCCCACTGGAACCTGGGTTCCAGATCCTCCATCCCGCTCAGCTCTTAATCCTCCTTCCTGAGAGGATTTAAAACATTTTCACCCACACTGTCAGAGCCCTCAGCTCTGGGCCACACCCCCTTCCCTGGGCCACGCCCCCTGCCCTCTGCACTTAGCTTTTTATCAAAGCTACACCAGCCCATGCCCTCAGCAGGGCCCTGCTCACCAGACTTGGCCCCGTCTGGGGGGAGGAGGCCACAGATGAGGTTGATGGCTTCATCACCCAGCATGCAGTCCCCCAGGTCCAGGGCCACAAGGGCAGGGTGGAGGGCCAGGGCTGGGTTCAGCAAGGCCAGCCCTGCATCTGTCAGGGGGCTCCCATGCAGGCTGGGGGTTGAGATCAGAGAGCAGAGGTTACTGCAGTCATCAGCCCTATCTGTAAGGGGAAGGGGTACTTTCCCTTAGGTGAGCCCCAGAGGTAAGCAGGGCACTCAGTCACAGCACTGGGGGGAGGCCTTGGGAAAGGAGAAAGAAAATTCTAGATTCTAAAGGAATACAGGTAGAAGTGGAATTCGGTTTCTTTTCTGGGGCAGGGACTGGGACCCAGGACAGAGCAGAGAAGGGGGGCAGGGGTGGATTAGGATCCCGGAGTAGGCAGAATATAGGGCAGGGGTCTAGTCCCCAGAGCGGGGTTCCTTCCTGGGAACTGAGGAGCTGCCCCCAGAAGTCAATGCGGATGATTAGGAGGGAGGTACACGTGCCCTGCCAGGAAAGGAGGGTATCTCATCTCCTTTGGGGTGGGGCTGCGTGTGCAAAGTCTGGAGAGAGGGGATGTGCTTGGAGGGTATTGTGCAAGCGTGGGCAGAGGGATGAGGGGTGTGTGTAACGGGGGAGAAGGGGTGCTGGTGGGAAGAGGTGCAGGAAGGTGTGTGGAGGAAGAGGAGGTGGCAGGGGACTGCGAGGAGGGGTGCAGTGCCCGGGACCCCCTTACGAGGGGGCGCACTCACAAGAGGGACTGGATGGAGCGGTTGGTCCGCAGCGCCTCCGCCAGCTGCTTGATGCGGCTGGGGCTGGACACGACGCCTAGGTTAAGGTTGAGCTGCGCCAGGGACGTGGCCCCGGCCAGGGCCCGGCAGATGCGGCCGAAGTCGCGGTCGCAGAGGCGGCAGCCGCGCAGGGAGAGCAGGCGCACCGCGTTGTCGCGCAGGCCGCGGCAGATGTCCCGCACCTCGGCGCCTGACAGCGGCTCCCCCGAAATCTGGATGGAGCTGGGCAGCATCGTGCCCACGGCTGGGCCTCCCGGGCCGAGGCCCGGGACGTGGGCGAGGTTGGCGGGGCCGCGGGCGGGGTCGGGGCTGAGGTCGGGGCCCGGGCTGGGGTCGCGGCCGGAGCGGGGGCACAGGCGGCGGCGGCAGAGGCGCAGGCGGCAGCGGAGGCGGCGGGGGCGGCTGCGGCTGCGGCGGCGGCTGCGATGGCGAAGAGCGCCGGGGCCCGGGCCGGAGCCGGCCGGGGTGGCGGAGGCGCCGAGGTCGCCGGTCGGGCTGAGACCGCGCGGCGCTGGGGCCGTGGCGGACCGTGCTGTCCGTGTCTGGGCCGTGGGCTGGGCGCTGCTCTGCGCTTGTCCTTGTCCGTCGCAGCTGCAGCAGCGGCAGCTCAGGGGCCGCAGTTTAGGACGCGCGGGACGGGTTCCCGCTCAGAGGCCGCTCCCTCCCTTCCTCCAGCTTGGCTTTCTCTACCACGCTCGCAAGGAGAGGAGCCCGAAGCGGGCAGACCGGCAGCCGGCGGCAAGCGGCAGCCTGGGCTTGGGCTCCTGCACCAGAGCGGGCGGTGAGTTCCCATGGCAACGGTCGCGTCACCACCGCTCGCCCCGCCCCTTGCCTAGGCCACGCGGGCCCACGAGGTTTGCGCACACCCGGTGATTCAGGAGCGGTGGGGACGCTCTTCCCTTGGGTGCGGGGCCAGACAACAGGTAGAAAGTAGGTAGCAGGGTCGAGGCCGGCGACTGGCATGGGAGGGGAGGGGAGAGGAGCATGGAGGCGTCACTTGGATGGCGTTGACCGCGTTCTTTTGCTCATTCTCCCGTCGTTCCTCATTCCTGAAGGCCAGACCCTTGGTGCCTTCGCTTGGATGCTAGGCACGCCCTCCTGTTTGGGTCTTCAGGGCCCTTTAATCCAGGCAGGCCTCACCCCGTTCCCTCGTCCCCCGCCCCCACGACGGAAGGCACATCGTGCGAGGGGACTCCAGCCCACGAGGACTTCCACGCGTGCCTCTCGCCAAGATGGTGGCCTCGCAGCACCGGCCCCAGAGGCCAGGCCGGGCAGAAGCAGTCTGGACCACCAGGCACAGGAGAACCCCAAAGGGTCCCTGGGGCAGGTGAGCCACAAGTAGATGCAGGGTACTGGTGCGGCCCCTTCCCCAGGTGCGTAGGGCACTGCTGATGCCCTGAAACTGGGGTAGCCCAAATAAATGGAGTGCCAGGATCAGCAACCTGGAGTGGTGATGGGGTGCGGAGCGTGGGCTGGAGCTCTCTGGAAGGACACACTGCACTGTGTGGGCAGTACTGTTGGGACTTTGTCCACTGGTGATGGTGTGGAGATTCACAGAACATAGGGGTCACCTTGGGCAAATGAAGGGCAGGTCTTTCTTAGTCCCTTTATTAGGAAGGAAAGATGCTGACCTAGATTTACTAGGGTAATGATTTTTTTTTTTTAAATGAGTAATGTAAATGTAGTGAAGAGGTCAAAAAATTCTATTCCCTCTGTTAATCTGTTAAGTGGAGCAGATTAAATGGGTGGTGGGTGGATGGCGCTATGCTTGGGTGGTGGTTGCTCTTAAGAGTAACCAGTACTCTTGAAGAGGAAGGGCAGAGAACTCCTGAAGAGCTTCGTTTCTCTGGCCCCAGTATAACCAGGGCAATGCCAAGTTTGGCTTCAAATGTGAGCCCCCCACAGGAAAATTATCCTTACATAATGGCCCAGGTCCATAAGGGTCTTGTAATGCTATGGGGTTGAATTTGGGAGTTTCTGTCCAAATGTCATTGGTCCATTGGTGTCCCAAGAGTGCAGCTGAGCTCAGGCTCAATCTGGGTGCTTTGTTCCATCAGAATTATGGTTCTTGTGTTTGAGGCCTCCCTGCTGCTCCATGGGTCAGGTGTCCCCTTCCCTTGGGGGCAGGTTCCATATTCAGTCACTGCCTTCATTGTAGCCTGGGCTGTCTCCCTTCATCCTGCCTTTCTCACCTTACATTCTGAGGGTATAAATAAGGGAACAAGACATTCTACCTCGGCTGACAGAACAGGCAAGTGTACAGGAAGTAGGATGGCAGGGAGGACCACAGGAGTGGTAGCTGCAGTTCCAGGCTTCAATCAATATTTTAATTACCAAGTCTATATTTAGCAAGACAACGTGGGAGAAATAAAGAAGAAGGAAGGGATGGGTGGTGACAGGGCCTCACAGGCGCTTGACCCACTTTCTGCACTGGCTGCAGAGCTCTGCAGTCCTGGCCAGGAGTTCCTGGCCTTGTGCCCTTCAGAAGCCCCAACCGGCGTCAAAGGAGGTGCTTAAGCGGCTCCAGCTCTGTGGCAGCTGCAGACCCCATCAAAAAGACACATGTCATCAGTACTCTTCTTTAATCTTCCTCCACTCCGCAGCTGGGGAAAAGGGAGCCAGCCAAGGATTTCAGGTGGGTCAGTGTGACTGCAGGGTCACCGCAACAGCCTTGGTTGTGGCATTGAGCACGACAGCTGATAGCCTGGCAGCAGGGAGCACAGCAGGGATGTCTCTGGGAACCCTCTGCATGGGTGGGATGTTGGGACCCTCCAGTGTGTCCAGGATCCCTGAAAGGAGGATAGAAGGTGAGCGTGAGTTGGCAGGGCACCGCCCTAGGCAGCTGAGCTGTTCTCCCCCTTACCCGCACCCAGGCCTCCTGTCACTTACCCTCTACAACCTTGTGGTAGGCAAAATGCAGATAGAGCAGGAAGAGCATGTGCAGGGCAGCCAGGGTGCCACAGAGGAGCAGCCGCTGTGTAGGGCCCACAGTCCGTGACACCAACACTGCCACCTAGGGCCACAGAAAAACAGCTCGGAGGGCCTGGCTCCAAAGGGAGCAGTATGGAGACGATAATTCTCCCTAGAGGGGAATCTTTGGGCTCCTTCGTCCCACTCAGCCCTTTGTGGAGTTTGGCCTGAGCTCTGGGCTGCTTTCCCCAAATCCCCAGGAGGACAGCCCACCCCTGGAAATCCCCTGCCCAGCTTACCATGCGCAGGGTGGACAGCCCCCCCACCAGCAGCCAGAAGAGGTAGAAGAGGGCATGGAGGTGGATATTATAGGTGATGAACAGGACAATGCAGTGACCAAAGAGGCCATAGCCCTAGGAAGGAGGATGGTAGAGAGGAAAATCACTCAGGCTGGGCTGGCCTCTGGACCCTTATGTATCTTTTTTTTTTTTTTTAATTTAAGCTGAGCCATCCTGCCACCTGTTGGCAGCTTAGCAGCAGCTCAGCTCAGGCCAGGACTCGAACCACTGTTGCTCAGAGTTCACACTCTTGAGCGAGCTCTTAACCAACTGAGCCACTCGGCTGGCCTGGACCCTTATGTAGATCCTGAGAAATAAATGGGTCAACCGGCCAGCTTACCCATTCCTGGCCCTAGGGCCCCAGGACAGGTGCAGACCAAGGCCTGGCTACTCTTTTAAGATCACTCTTGCCCACCACCATACTGGACTCCTTACCAGCAGTGCCAGCATCTGGAGCATGGTGATCTGCGCGTTGCACAGGTAGGCGAGGAAGTAAATGAAGGATGAGACGCCCAGCCAGTAGCCAAAGCAGGTGCCAATGGCTGTGCCCATCAGGGTGCCCTCCCGCTGTGGAGTGAAGGCTCTACTTAGTCCTGGGAGGCCAGTGGTCTCAGCCTCACCCAGGGCCGTCCTCAGGGCTGCTTCTAACTCACTCCACCACTGTCTCTTTGGGCAGCTTTCAACTCAGTTCAGCCACCCCCCAAAGTCCTCTGTCCTGCTTACGATAATGGTGTCAGATGTCTTCATCCCGTGGAGGAGGATGGCAACCAGCGTGAAGACCAGCATGAGAGGTCCGTAGAGCTCACCTGCAATTTTCTGTCAATATACCAACTCATTCAGGCTGGAGGGTACAATGGCTCCTCTGTTTATTCCTTCCCAGGCTTTGCCTGGTGGCCCCACCCTCGGCCCTGGTGCCTCCCCCGGCTCTTCTAGTCATGCTACCCCCTATTCACCTGGGGGAAGTTGACCATCTTGATAGGGATCATGGACTCCAGGAGCCTGGGAGAGGAGAGAAGAGATGAGAGCAGAGGCAGCGTCCCTAGGCTATGAGGTTCTGGAGGGCCTGAATCTTATTCATCTCTCTACCTCCAGAGAACATGCTGGATGGTAAAGGGGGAAGAGGGTAGTGAAAACAGACAGGGAATCAGGAAATGACTTCCTCGCCCCTAAAAATGCTTTCAGGAAGGACAACCCTTTGATGCTGTGCTGACTGATGCCGCAGCAATATGAACTCAGGGAGCCCAGCTGGGCCTTGGGAGAGGGCTTGACAGTTTACCTATTTGACCTGCTCCCTTTTAAAAGGAAAACCTCAGCAGAGAATACCCAGAATTCCAAACTGTGATAGTGAAGCCCTGAAGGGAAGGTGTTACTTGAACGAACCAGTGTGTCTCCTGCCTCTGTCTGCTTACAATTCCTCAAGGCACCTCCGAGCATTTTCTTAAAATGCATTTGAAGTGGTGTGAAAATTCCAGGCAGAAGGAATAAAAGTACAAGTCACTTCCCCATTCTCTTCTTAAGTGGCTAGCTCCTAAAAATACCTTCGAATTTGGCTAGATTTTACCCCCCTCTAGGAAACCTGCCCTGTTCCACCTCCAGCCTACTCTGGGTCAGGTGTCCCTTCTGTGTGTCCCTTCAGAGGAAATGAGTGCTGCACTATAACTACACTCGAGGGCAAGGCTCTCATCTGTCTTTACCGCTAAGTCAGACACAACTAGTAGTGTGCCTGGCACAGAGCAAAAGCTTAGTAAGTACTTGCTGAGTGCACTGGGTATTTAGTAAGCAAGGCTTAAATTCAAGTATGAACAAAGAACCAAGCTAAGATTAATTCCAGTTTTTGAAGTCACTCAACAACTATGTACTGATATTCTGGTTCAGAGGCTGTTCTGGTGCTTGGAATCAACACAAAACAGAGCCTGCTTTTGAAGAGGTCTCTGGGGAGACAGACCCAAGAATAAGAAAGTACAGCACTGCTGAAGTGTTCTTTGTTAGAGGAGAGCGCAGAGCTCTATGGGAGCACCAGGAAGGACAACCTAAGGATGGGGTTGAGGAACGGGGAACAAAGGAAGCAACATTTGAGCTAGGTTCTGAGCGAAGATGAGTAGCTTACTAGATAGACAAGAGGAAGAAGGCAGTGTGTTATCAGCATGTCCTGTTCTGGGATTGACAGGAAGAATGGTGTGGCTGGGGTACAGATACAGTGATGAAGGCTGGTGGCATCACGAAGAGGGGTGTCTAAAGACTAGGTCTCTGGCTATAGTATGTTTGAAGGACTAGGTGTGAAGAGGGCGGCTTTTGTCAGGAGAAGGATCCTCACCTGCTTCGCACCTGGGCAGGCTCCACATCAAAGTAGGGTCTCAGGATGTCGATGTTGGCGTACAAGCTGAAGGCCCTGGAAGCTTGTCTCTTTCCTGCCTGCCACATCTGAAGAAAGAAGACAGGTGGGGTGGGTGGGTATTGTGAGACCCTTGGCTCTAAGCCCTGTTGCTTATTTTCTGTTGGATTTCTACATGGTTCGAACTGGATAAGCTGGGGTGACTGACCTTCACAAACACCAACCTGGGGCCTCCTAGGTATATTTTTCCACCTGCCAGGTATTCCGTTTTGCTTACCTGATCAGCCACCTGCCGGCTGAGCTGTCCCTTAAAGCCCTTCATGCCCAGGAACTCGCCATCCTCTTCTTCAGCAGCGGCTGCATCAGCATCTACTTCTTCCTCACGCAGGCGCTGATGCAGCTCGCCCATATCCTCGAAGCTGGAGCCTGAGGTATCGTCCATGTTCTCCATGTCAATCACAGCTGAGCTCCCACCCTGTGAAGACAATAGCTCCTAGTGTGCGGACCTTTCTGCTCCATCCATTGTCTTTCTCTGTTCATCTCAGGACTTGGGGCTTTGTCCTTCCACTGATGGGGATATGGCTCGGAATCACCATAGATGCTGCCACTCTTCTCATTTGCTCTCAAAACCTTTATTGTTTGGCTCTTTTTTCTAGCCTGGGAAACCTACTCCCTATCGTTCATACATGTCTTTCTCCTACCTTCCTTACAAAGCCTCAAAGGGCTGCAAAAGTGCCCACTTCCTTTGTCTTTCCCAACCCCCATAAAAGGTTGTGCACACAGTATGGTTTTTTTAGCCAGGGCATCACTCATCACTGCCCCCCCCCACCCCACCCCCGCTGCCCTGCCTGACCCCAACCGACCTCCTAATTTGTCCCGAAAGCAAGAGCGGATTGGCCCAGAGACCCGAGGCCCTCTGACTGGAGTACAAGTCTGGCCTTTTCAGGTCATCACTAGGTCCCACTGACTTTCGTGCGCACGAAGACCCAAAGGAGAGAAAAAGTGCTGCAAATGGAGCAGACTTCCAGGTCCCAAGTGAGAGTCCTCACGACAATTTAGGATGACTGCCGGCCCTGGGGCAGCTGGAACCTTGGGGCCATTACCTGGATGTTTTCTTCGAACCCTCCCCATTCTGGACCAGCCCCGTTTCGGGAGCCGCCGGCGGGCGCCGCCGTAGCTGCCATGTCCCTCGAGGGCTCCCGTCGCTGAAGCCTGCGCTAGTCCCGCGCGTGGAAGAGTGGGATAAGACGTAGGCCTGAAGGAAGGAGAGGTCCAGGGGTAAAAAGAGAGGTGGGATGAGCCGGAAAGCAAAAAGGAGAAGCCCGGATGTTTGGCGAAACTAACTTCCGGAAGCTGGGGACGTGGACGGAGAGGAGGCAGAAACTCGCGATATTTAACCTTCCAGGCGGTGGGGCGTTGCCACGGAGACGGAGGAGGGCGATTAGAACGCACGCGCCAGTTGCTACCCTAGTCACGTGGGGGGTCGAAGATGGCGGCGGCCCAGGCGGTAGAGGAAATGCGAAGCCGCGTGGTCCTAGGGGAGTTCGGGGTTCGCAATGTAAGCTTTGTGGTCTTGAGCTAGGGAGGGGAAATAAGAGTGGAACAGGGATGAGTTGGGGTCGGAGTGGGGACGGGCTTGGCCTCGCTGCCCCTTCTCGGACAGACTGCTCTCTGCTCTAGGTTCATACCACCGACTTTCCCGGTAACTATTCCGGCTATGATGATGCCTGGGACCAGGACCGCTTTGAGAAGGTGGGTGGCCGGAGGTGTTGGGAGAGGATATGAGGATCGGATCGTGTGAGCTGAGCAGCCTGTGCCTCAGAAGCTGTCCTTGGGTTTTGCTCCGTTCATAAAACGTTTGTTGAGTTCTGTGTTAGGCGCTCCGTGTACACGGTTTCCGCGCTGTTCGCCCGAAGGGCGAACATGTTCAGTTTTGCTGGGCAAGAGCGCGCGTAAGCAAATGATTCCAGTATAATGTAGTAAAGGCGGTTGATAGCAGTAAGGACGACCGGAGGTGGGTCGGGGGGTGTCCCATTCCGCAGAGGCACTTAATCTAGAATGGGGAGGAGGGCAGAAGTATGGAAGATTTCCTGAAGGAGGTGACATCCAAATTGAGCCTTGAACGATGAGCAGAAGCAGAGAACAGCGAAGGGTGAGAAGGGACTAAAAACAGAAGCTAAATTATAAAGGCTTGTGTGAGCTGTGCTGCGGGAATGTCCAAGCAAGCAGTTCATTATTGCTGGAATGTCAAGTGGGCCAGTATGAGCGGGAGGCAAGATTGAATCAAGTGTGTCTTTGACACTGTAGGTGACAGAGCAAAGGGGAGATAGAAGGTAGGTTTAATGATTGCTTTGATGTCCCCCTTCATGGTGGGAATTGCTTTGGTGGATCGTGGTGTCATTTATTGATGAGAAATGGGTCTGGGGAATGATGATGCCTGCATTCAGTTTCCTTCAGGTGGAGAAGTCTAGCAGGCTAATAAAACATATGTTTGAATTGAGATCAGAAGTGAGATATAATTTGGGGATAGTTGCTAAAACCATGAGTGTGGTTGACATCACCCCGGAGAGAAAACTTGGGGAATAGTTTTGGGAAAGCAAAAACTTGGGAAATAGTAATACTTATGGAGTAGGTGGAAGACAGTGAATTTAGGATTGATCAGAGAAGGGAGAGAACCACACGATTGGTGCTCAGATATCAAGGCAATAGAATTTGAAAAAGGAGGGATCCTATCAACAATGTCAAAATACAACAGAGGAGTATAATAAGGACTGAGTAGTGTCAACTGGACTAAGCAGTATGGAAGCATGTTCTTTAGTAGAATAACCTTTGTGGATGGTCTGGCTGGACGCCATACTGCAGAGGGTTTAAAATGAATGGGAGCTAAAACCAGGGAGACTTTTAAAAAGAAACTAATAAAGGAGCACTTGGGGAAGACGGAACATCTAATGAGGGACATCTGGGCAGAGGGAGGTTTTTGGATGAAACAATGTTAATACCTTGAGGGGAATATGGGGCGCGGGGGAGGGGGGGCAGGTTTTGACTATACAGAGAGCAAGCTTCATTTAGTGTTTTTCCTGTCCCTTTAGAATTTCCGTGTGGATGTGGTACACATGGATGAGAACTCATTGGAGTTTGACATGGTGGGAATTGATGCAGCCATTGCCAATGCTTTTCGACGCATTCTATTAGCTGAGGTATTGGTGGGCATGGTGACGGGTAGAATTGCATGGGGAAATCATGCGATTTACCTCGCTTGTAGAATTGTTTCAAGGTTTATTTTCCCTGCAGTTTTGCTGAGCATTCCTCCTGCTCTTTTGTAAACTTCCATCAAGGATTCTTCTAGGAAGAGGTCTATCCCTATCTATGTCAGCAGGCGGCAGGGAGTAGATGGGGCGTCTATAGGGTCTTTGTAAAATGATTGTTTTGTTGGGCAGGTGCCAACCATGGCTGTAGAAAAGGTCCTGGTATACAACAATACATCCATTGTCCAGGATGAGATCCTCGCTCATCGCTTGGGGCTCATTCCCATCCATGCCGATCCTCGTGTTTTTGAATATCGGAACCAAGGTGAGGGTTTGAGAAAATGAAATTTTTGGGGAAAGGGAGCAGCTCTCCTCTGCAGACTAAATTCTAGAACCAGACTGTGTTCAAATCCTGGACTAACGCATGGCCTTGGTCAAGTTACTAATCTTTTGGTACATCATTACTTTTATCTATGAGAACCCCTGCCCTTGCTTTACTAAATTTGTCGAGGATTAAATGAGAAATTTAATGCATTCAACATGGTGCTTGGCACCCAAATATTCACTAGTCTTTTAAAAGCTGTCACCTCCTCCTCCCTTTGTGCAGGAGATGAAGAAGGCACCGAGATAGACACACTGCAGTTTCGGCTGCAAGTCAGGTGCACTCGGAACCCCCATGCTGCTAAAGATTCTTCTGACCCTAATGAACTCTATCTGAACCACAAAGGTGAGTATTGGTAGGGTAAGGAAGAGGGCCCACCTGCTGGTGGGTGCTCGTTTTAGGGACTGATTGCTTCTTCCTCCAGTGTACACCAGGCACATGACATGGGTCCCCCTGGGGAACCAGGCTGACCTCTTCCCGGAGGGCACTATCCGACCGGTGCATGATGATATCCTCATTGCTCAGCTGCGGCCTGGCCAGGAGATTGATCTACTCATGCACTGTGTCAAGGGCATTGGTGAGAACCCCGTGGGCTGCCCTGGGTAGGAAGATAGTTCTAATACAGTGGGGTGAGGTGTGACTGAGGGAGTCAGGTAAGATGTGAGTGACAGTGGGCCTTTGGGAATGTGAAGAAGGGTTTTCCCACAGGCTGTTTTCCCTCTAGGCAAAGATCATGCCAAGTTTTCACCTGTGGCAACAGCCAGTTATAGGCTCCTGCCAGACATCATCTTGCTTGAGCCCGTGGAAGGGGAGGCAGCTGAGGAGCTGAGCCGGTGCTTCTCACCTGGTGTCATTGAAGTGCATGAAGTCCAAGGTATGGTATTTGGGATGCTGTTCAGGTCAGGACCTAAAGTGTATTTTTTTTGAAGGTAGCAGAGAAATACAAGCTGTGAGCTCATGTATTCATAACATGGTTTGTTTACATTAGGTAAAAAGGTAGCCAGAGTTGCCAATCCCCGACTAGATACCTTCAGCAGGGAAGTCTTCCGGAATGAGAAGCTAAAGAAGGTTGTACAGCTTGCTCGGGTTCGGGACCATTATATCTGTGAGTACCAAGTGGGTGGGGGGTGGGGAGGGGAGGGGGTGGTGCGGCTCTTTAGTGCTACAGCTTCCTTGGAGTCCAGATGTGGAATCTAGCAGTAACTTGTACAGGAGCTTTTGCAAGCCCTACCTGGGCTAAAATGTCTCTTTGGTTCCAGTCTCTGTTGAGTCAACGGGGGTGTTGCCACCAGATGTACTGGTGAGTGAAGCCATCAAGGTACTGATGGGGAAGTGCCGGCGGTTCTTGGATGAACTAGATGCAGTTCAGATGGACTGAGGCTTGCACCAGACTTAGTGGCATGGCTGGGCTCGGATGCTCCTGAGGCAAGCTGAAGGTTTTGGGTTCCGACCTGCCACCGCAGGACTGCTCTAGAGTGCCCTGAGTTTGTGGGACAATCCCAGCTTTATTTCAGTCAATACATTTTGTTAAATGTGTCACAAAATGTGACTTTTAAGCCTTTGTAAGGCTTTAATGTAAATAAATTCAAATCCAAACAAAAATTGTTTTGTTGGAGACCACTTATTCAGCTTTGGTCCACAAATATGGGGCCTTACCTAGAACAGGTTTGGCATTATTTAGTAGTTAGGAACATAGGGCTCAGATGTCATTGCAGGTCAGGGCCAAGCTCCTCCAAAGCCTCATAAGAAACGCCAAATTGAGGTGTTTTCTGGGGGCACAGACTGTATGAAAATACTGTGTGCCACTTAACCTATCTCTTGGATAACGGAGAAAATTGCCGATAGTAAAAAGGTGGTCCCTAGCAGTCAAATTACACTGCTATCAAGAGCCACACGAGGAAGAACAGCAGTTCCCTTTGGACAGTCCTTTAGGGTTAGATTCAGCAGCCTCCAATGATGGGTGACACTGAGAATGGTATGGGCTGCCTGTGTAGGTATGTCAGGACTAGAAATCTTTTCCTAGCTGATGTTATTTAGAAAGCTTGACAGCAGGTCCATCAGTCATAGGTCTTCCCGTCCAGTCCTCTTAGCGAGATGCTCATGAGGAAGTGACCCTGGAGTATGTCACTAATTTGAAAACGACAGATGGGGCTCTTTCTATATGAAATTGAGGTTTTTACTGACATGCAGATGTGCTTTAGAGTTAATGTTTCTACAAAAAGGTTCTATAAACAATAGAAAACTTCTAGCATGAAGTCACAAGATGTTAAAAATAGTACAACACAATAAATACAACTATGCCCTCCAAGCCCCAACCACAGAGAGGAATAGGCAGCTAACAAGTCTGGAGGGAAACATGCTTTGAGATGGCCTTCACAGTTGACAAGAAGCCCAAAGCACCGCCCAGGAAGAGGGCCTGGGGCAAGTCTGCCGTAGAAACGGGCTTCCCCAGCTCCAGCTTCGCCTCTTCCTGAGCACCCCGTGCCTGGGGGCCGGCACCAGCTAAAAGCTGTAGCTTCGGTCCATGCTACTCCAGTCTTTACTGAAACCCTTGCCAGTGGGCTGGATCGATGACAGGCCAGTTGGTCTCTGTGCAGAACACATGAACACACACCGTATGGTTTCTGTATGGATTAAGCCTGTCTGTGGCCGACAGTGACCTCAAGGCTAGGGTCCTGCATCTCTGTCCCCTATGCTTATAGGGCCATTTAGTGACCTCTAGAATGGACTGGAGACT